GATCTCAAAATTTTTTAAGGTAGGAGTGCTCACCTCCCCTATTTAAATTCTTAGAACGTATTATTATAATATTTTATTACGCTCTACCCCATACCTGAGGTGTCGCGTTAAGCGTCTGCTTTTAACATACGAAAACCACGTCCGCTAAAGGACGTGGCTAGCTGCAAGCAGCAGGAGGCAAAAGCAGGCAAAAGCAAAAGTAAAGGTAAAGGCAAAGGCAAAAACTTTTGAAAATAGTGATGGTCCCCAAGGACCATCATACTCAAACAGACCATCACCTATTTAAAAGCATCTTTTCTCCCCTTTTTTTTTTTTTTGAAATTTTAGGATTGTTACAGAGACGCTCAGGACACCCAGTCAGTTGACCGTTTAGGCCAGGAGAGCCGCTGAGGTCTAGAAGACGTAAGAGGTAGTCAAAGAGGACTGTCCAGATAACACTCAACCGCAACCTAATAATGGAAAAATTTATTAAGAATCTGACAGATAAAACAACTAGTACAACTAATAGAACTCTAAGGATCAAAAACAAAGAAGAAATTGTTATTAATGATATTGAAAACCAAATACAAAATTGGAACACACCCAAAGTTCCTATATCAGATGTCTATAAGAAAGGCACATTCGATCTAAAAATCGGATATGCTATTAAAACAGTAGAAGAAACTTTATCTGTTACAAATAATCAAGAAGACTTTCAATTACTATCTCAAAAGATATTACAAGTCCATAAAGCAAAAAACTATAAATATTTACATATAGGATTAATTCAAATAGCTGTAAAACCCTTGACTCGTTTAGGACTAAATAATTCTATCCTAGTCTGTTTACGCGATACTAGGCATAAAAGATTTTCTGATTCACTGCTAGGAATGGTTGAATCTAGTTTATGTAGTGGACCAATATATTTCAACTGTTTTCCCAATTATTCAATATCTCTTACAGATCCAAATATTTTAAATGTTTTATCTTTAAATCTCAAAACTCAAGGATTTAATATGATGACGGGTTCTCAAAATATAGCCATTGTTTATCGAATTTATTACAAAGTAATGACTACATTCATCCCAGATCCATTGGGAATACTTTGGAAGCAAACTTATGAAGGGGGGAAGCTGTAATCAACAGAAGGCAGACAGGTCAAATTTTCAGGATCCAGATAATGAATTGTAGAATTCACCAAATAGATCCTGTGGTCCTTAAAAATGCAATATGGGAAGGATTATACTCAAAGATTTGATTCCTAATGCATGTACTTCTATCCCTGATCACATGCAGCAATAGTTCAGATTAAAGTTGGGCACTAAGTCTATTGCTATCCACAAAAACAACCATATACAATCCTCAAATGGTAGGGTTTGATTAATATATCCCCATTGCTATGTGCATCAAAGCACCCAAAATCACTAATCCACTCATTAGTTACCCACCAATGCCCTCTCCTGATGCCCTCCAGAGAAAAATACAACAAACATAGCATCGAAAGTATACATCAAGAACAACGGATTAGGAATCTTGTTTCATTACAAATCCATCATTGCACTAATTACTATGGTATAGTAATTTTGAATATCAAAGTTGTCCCTGACAATATGACATAATTGCCATAAAGATTGTGACTTAGGCTGCAAAATAATTTACAAGAAATAGCCAAACATCCAATTATGGGAAAAAATTCATAGAAACTAGTTACCAATAAAGTCATAAAAATAGCCCTAGGTATTTCCATATATGATCAAGATACATAGCAGCAAAATCACAGTATCCAAAATATATGAAAATTTGTGCCACGATCTTTCTGCAATATTACTTTCCATCATGCATACAATAAATAATCTATCATAGAGAACAAACCATTTTCGCTCTATACTTTAGATAAGATATTGTAAACTTTACACAAATTGATCGAAATAGGTTCATAACTGCAAACAAATTGATCGAAATAGGTTCATGGTATGTATCTGAAGAAATTGCTAACAAAGAGTTTATCTATGTGTGGACTCTCCTTCCATATATTCACCTGTAAGAAGCTTAAAAAGGAAAAAGACAAATATTCACAAAGTCAAGTTCCCCACGTTGGTTGGCTAATATTGCATATTAGGCAACAATGCAGCAATAATAAAAGAATGTCGAGATGGAAACACATTTGATCAATACCAAGTCATCATCAGATAATGTCCTCAGCAAAAAGTATCAACATTGCTTTAACAAAATAATACGTAGCAGTAGTATTTGATGTCCATAAAATTATACAATCCACACATAAGCAGCATGTAATACTAAATTACCTCTTAAATACAGTGCATCCTCTATGAGATTGCCTCTATTTCATTCTAGACGAAGTTAATATATTGAGGATTACAAGAGAATCAATAGCCAATACAACCAGGATCTCCAGTGTACTCTGCAATTTGATCGAGTTCCACAGAGACCATTTCAAACGTATCTGCATCTTGCACTATCCCAATACCTTTATCCAAGTCCTTCTCTACCAGCTTACCAAAGACATCCTTGTGTTTTCCAAGCAAAACAAGAACATAGCCTCCTCTCTGTGGTAGAGCAGTCTGCAAAATCTCTTGATTCACTCCTTGAATAACTTCTTTACTGTCATCCATAGTTATATCACATGTTAATGGACCTACTACATCCATGACCTCACCCTTTTTCAAATACAATCTACCCCCTCTAAAATCCTTGCTAACAACTTTGACCCTGATATGACTTCTAAGCCAAGAGAGTGGAGCCGTCTCAACCCCTTCTCTAATGCTTTTACCATCTCTTTCTCCACTCTTTCTTCCTTGATGTCTAGACTTCTCTCTCTTCCTTCTATCTTCCTTTTCTCTTTTCGAGCTACTCCTTTCCCTCTCTCTATCATGCCTTGACACATCCCCATGTAATGGTTCAGCCTTTCTCTCTTTACCAAACTCACCATTATGGCTCTCTCGCTCATCCCTCCGTAAGTGCTTGAGCCTATTGCCATCACCCTCAAGCTTCAATTCACGCATTCTTTTCAAGCATTTATCTTCCTCAAGGGAACCCAATTCAGCTAGTTCCTCTCTATCCACCACCACCATTTCCTCACTCTTCAAAAGCTTCAAACCAATCTTCTGAGAAGACCCATCATCACCAAAAATCTCAATCAACTGGCCCTTCAAACCCAAATGAGGACCACCAATAACCCGCAAAATTTTTCCTACAAAAAACCCTTTAATCTCTCTTGGTACAAGTTTCTCGTCAATCCCTACCGCATGTCTGATTCGACCATTGGATCCTTTCGGAGCAATAAGCTCAGGCCTCGATTCCCTGCTCTCTCCAGGCTTGACATACTTCTTTTGCTTCTTCTCTGGAACAGAGGAAGGAGTAAACCCTAACCCACCCATCCCTGCTCTTCGAATGTACTGAACCACCTGAATATCTTTTTTGGCCTTTCGACCTATGCCTTGGCCTTCAGTCCAGCCATAACCAGCAAGAACAGCGGCCCCAAAACCCTCAATTGGCATATCAGAGAATTCATCGAGCCCACCATCCTCTTCCAATTCAGAATCGAGATTTTTTGGCTTCACAGATGGAAAACTTGAATTGCCCATGTCTTTCTTTCTCTTGGCATCAACCTCAGTCGCCTCCACCGGCTCCATACATGAGAGACCTGAATTACCCATGTCTTCGTTCTCTCGCTTGCTATCCCCTCCATTAGACTTGTTTCTGAGGTTTAGGCCATACCCAACATCACTTTCAATGGATGTTTCATGGGTAATAATCTCAAATTCCAAGTGGGTCTCTTCTGGTTTGATGTTCTTCATATTTTTCTCTGCTCTCCATGAGCTCTCTTGTCTTGGGATCACAAGCCTGGATTTCTCAGATGGGGTTTTTGAGCTATCGAATTCTGTCACAAATTCTGCTTTTGGTTCCTCTTCATTTGTGTTTCTCTCTCCAAAATCAGTGGGTCTAGGTCTAGAGGAGCGCTTGGATGAGAGAGAAAACGAAAGTTTCATAATTTTTCCCAAGCTCTGAGGACTAACAGCAGAACTGGAGGAAGAAAAAGAAACAGGAAAGAGGTCAAACAACTTGGTTCCCAGATAGAAGGCAAGAGACTCCTTCAGATTTTGGATTACTACTTTACTGAGAGTGGGGGAAGCAGATGATTCTCTTGAAAATCGGATATTGCATGCTCCCTGCCAAGGTTTTGAATGAAAATATTGTTAGGAAAAAAATGAATGGGAAAGGAAAAAAAACCAGCATTGCATAACTAAAGTTTATGCCCTTCAAATAAGCATTAACAAATAAAGAAATGAAAACAGGGCATCAATATTTAACAAAGCAAGATAACCATGTCACTATCAAACTGCTTAGTGTGAGATCATAATCAGAAAGCATATCAGCAAAAAAGAGATGGAACATAATTCATATTCTAATCTTCAAGCATTCAAAACATAGCTTCAAAATTCATGAGAAATTTATTCAAGAAGCATTTGAGTAGAATCTTTCTAGTTTTTGGATAAAATTGAAAAAAAAATAAAATTCAACAAACTAATTGTGCAGTTTCATGACGATGAACAAGCCCCCATCACAGTGAAAAAGCACTCATTCTGATCACAGGAAGTCAAAGATTACATATTACTTCAAAACAAATAAAAAAAAATCTCAATATCTATAACAGATCAATTGATAATTGGGAAAATAAAGCACGCAAATTTTTCATTTTAGAGGACAGCTTCATTTCTCAATACTCTTCTTTTCTGAATGGTGGCTTCGTTTCTCAATACCCATGTAGTGAAAGGGCTCAAGCACTAATGAGAAAAAGACTCTTATTCAATGATATTTTACATAATGTTATAGAGTTCCAAACTGTAAACAGCCCAGGTTGCAAACCCCACTATGATCTAATTACTTGCGCCAGTTTATTAGTTCCCCAATGTCACTGCTTACCAAATACTCAACAAAATCTAAATTTATGAAAGAGATTTATGCACCATAGTATCCATCCATTATCTTAATTTTGGAATGACTTCGAGGCTTCATTTGATAATTTTGAGAGTCAATCCCACTCAGCTCTTTCTAGTTTCAGGATAACATTGACAAAAGAAAAATTCAACAAAACGTAAAAATCGCAAAATGGTTTCTAATACGACAAAAAAAAACCAGAAAGAAAAAAAAAATGAAAAAAAAAAAAAAATCTGACAAGTATAACAAAAAAAACCATACCCACATTTCTCAGTAGTACAAATTGTGCTTCTATACTCAATAAAATAGGCCAAACATTAAAAAAGCATCAAATTTCCATGGGGAAATCATAGAAAAAAAATGTTTGAGAGGGAAAAACCAGGAAAATCAAAAGAATAAAATCCATACCCTCGTAGAAGAAGATGATGTATTTTGTATGGAGGTTCATATGAGGGAAACCCTAACTTGTTTGGTGAAGTATCTTTACACTATGATGAAGAAAGACAAGCAAAAAAAATAAAAGAACACCAGAGAAAAATAAACAACAACAACCTTACCTTGTTGAAGAAGATGAAAGCTTGATCCTCGATTGTGGGTCTGTGAGAGAGGACACAGAGGGTTCAAAGAGACTGGCGAGGGAGGCTTTGCGAGAGAGAAGGAAGGGCTTTGAGAGAGAGGGGCGAGGGTTTTGAAAATAGGTTGAGCTTTGAGAGAGGTGTATTGCATGCGTGTATCCTGTAAATCCTATTCAATTTTAGAGAGACAAAGCCGTGGAATTTCAAACCTAGATCGATAAAAGTGGCAAAAATATTTATCCAAGATAACAGGGATGCCTATCTATTTGTGTGTAAAAAAATAAGGAAAAAATTTATATAAGGATGCAACCACATAATGTAGAACTACGGATGCATCTCAAAAATCCATCGAAAAAAATGTAGTTTTAATGTTAAAAAACCCTTTGATTGATCATCTCGACATCGAAATGTATGACCATGAAAAATAAAAAGCTTTTAAGTCTCAGAAATACTACATTTTACAATATATTATCTACACCGTCCATTTTCAAGATTTTCATAGGTTTATAGATCTACTTGATTTTAACCATTTTTGAAATTTAAAATTTTATAATTAGTTATAAAAATAAATTTTCAGATAATTCTAAGAACATTTTACATCAAAATTATATACCATGATAAAATTTGAAAGTGCACCTTACCTCTACAGCTACGGGTGCATCCGTATGCCAACTGCACCCAAAAAATAATGCATCCTAGTTCGAGAGACTTACGATATGAGGTTCGCTTAAAAGTAAAACATTTTGGTGGTCCTACTGGTTAACAATTTTATTGTTAGTATAGTATATTATATTTTTTATATCAAATTTTTTTACATATTTATCCTTTTTAAAATCAATAAAAATTTATTATCCATGCAAGTTATGTTTAAGTATTCTTCTTGAAGGTCTAAATAAACAATGAGTAATGATCCTATGAGACCCTCTCATACCCATGTGTATAGGACCCCATAGGATCACCATTAAATTTGGCATAAATCTCTAGAAAAGTTATCAGATGGGTGTGGGACTTGACTTTTCTAGAGATATGTGTCAAATTTAATGGTGATATTTTGGAATCCTACACACATGGGTGTGGAAGGGTCTTACAAGGTCATTTCCCATAAACAATATATGTCACTCTGTACTCCACCTTGCCACCAAAAATTTTTTATTGCCCACAAGTTTTGCGGACTACTCTCCTTATGGCCTCACTGGTCTATGTAGCCTCAATTAATATAAATATTTATATTTCAGAAATAAAAAATTATCCTTTTTTTTTGTTAAATTACAAAATAGAATTTCTTATCTATAAATATTTTTTTGAGAAAATTTCGCATAGAACTCTAATTCCTCATATTATTTAATGGTAGACCCTCTTCCCGTTTTTCTTTCAAACGGCATTAGAAAACCTCTAAAGATTTTACCATACCCTCTCATCTCTTATCTCCCACTTTTATTGACTTTTGATTATAAAAATTAGCCCCAACAAAGTTTTTTATACTATTTCAACTCAAAAACTTTTCTAATGGGTGGAAAGGGAAAAAAATTGTTAAAAACGTTTGTAGGATGAAATGATATAAAAAGATTTCTTAGGGCTAATTTTATGTTAAAAAGTCAATAAAAATGGGAGATAAGAGATGAGGGGGTACGGTGAAATCCTTGAGAATTTTTTTATGCCACTTGTAAGAAAAACGGAAAGATGATCTACTATGAAAAAATACGAGGAATTAGGGTTCTATACGAAATTTTCCTTATATTTTTTATAAGTTCGTTATGTAAGAAATCAAATACATTAGAAAAACAGTTTTGACTCTTCAAGCATTAAACGACGTCCATGATAGAGGTGGACGTTTGAAAAAAATTTCTTTTACTATACCTTAAAATGAAGGGTAGAAAAGCATATTTAAAGAATAGAATTTATAGCTTTTAAAAAGAAAAAAAAATCCATTTACATAATAACCATAGTGGTTGAGATTTGTAAATCTCAAACTCTGGATCCATAATCCATCTTTCTATGGAGGCCCACACATGTGCACGTACGGTGATTATACTATGCATTATAATATATTATAATCGGATGTGGTTTGCATGAGGTTGCGACCTTAAACAATCAAAATAAGGTATACTTCAAAATTTTATCATAAATGCAAGTTTAGTTTTGAAAAATTTTAGGATGGCGTGAGAATCCACTTTTGTCCCTAATTATAAAATATTAAATTCCAAAAATGATTTAAATCAAGTAGATCTATAAACACATGAAAATCTTGAAAATTGTCGGTCTAGATAATATCGCAATAGATGCCTATTTCTTGGGACTTGAAATTTTTTTTAATTCATATTCGTACATCTCGATGTCTGAGGTGATCAATTAGACAGTTTCCAGCATCAAGACAAACCTTTATTATGGATTTTTTAGGCGCATTTTCATTCTACATTAAAATTGGAACCAGTTACATGGATATATACAATATATAAATTATGGCAATGACTTTGAGCAAAAATCTCACATGCATGTGTATACATGGGCAAAATGCTACCCCAACCGTGGGCAACCACGAACTCAGTCCATCCCGCGGCTGTGGATTGCTTGGAGGCATAGTAAGTGGTTAGGATATATGCCATTGAAATGGTTTTTTTCTTTGATTTGTAATGTTGTGACTAATCCTTTGGCAAAGGTTCAGATTGGAGGTTTACTCTGAGTTACTCGCCAATGAGATAATTGGGAAAATTAATACTCTGAGTGTACTCCGTAAGTCGGAATAAATTTATTGGCGACAAAGTTCTCGAGTCAAATGGCTGAAAGATGACGATCTGAGCACAAAGTTTTTTCATTATATTGCATGTGCTCGCAGGCGGCAGAATGATCTCTCAGGTCTAACGATTTAAGGAGTAATGCAGGAGGAGGATATTGATAGTTGCAATTTAGCGATAATTGAGCATTTTCGAAAGGCTTTTTCGTCGGAAGTATGCGCTACCCCCAGAATGAGTCTTATTCCCTTTCAAACTCTTCCAAAGACAATTGCAACACAACTTGAAGTTGATATCTCAATGGAAGAAGTGAAATTGGCTATTTTTTCGCTGGCAAGAGATAAAGCACCTGGACCTGATGGATTTCCTATGCGTTTTTTTCATAAGTTTTAGTATATGCTGTCAGGGGAACTTTTATGTATGGTACGGAGTTTTTTGGATAGGGGAGAAATTTTTAGAGGTGTTAACTCTACTTTCATTGCTCTCATTCCAAAAAAATATGTTATTAAGGAGCTCTCAGATATGAGACCTATTTCGTTATTATCTAGTTTGTATAAAGTTGTGGCAAAAATGCTGCTATGCGGTTGAAAAGAGTGCTGAACGATGTTATTTTTGGTCCCCAAACAGCTTTTATTCAGAATAGATTGATTACTGATAGAATATTAATTGCTTAAGAATGTGTCAACTCCAGGACTCAAAGCAAGGAACCAAGGGTTGTTATTAAACTGGGCATGGAAAAGGCATATGATAGCGTAGAGTAGTGCATTCTAATAGAAATTTTAAAATGCATAGGGTTTGTTGAGAAATGTCGTAATTTGATTTACGGATGCCTCTCTTCGCCAGATTTTTCGATTTTTATTGATGGTTGCCCCAAAGGCTTCTTTAAATCCTCCAGAGGTTTTCGTCAAGGAGACCCTTTATTGTCGTTTTTATTCACAATTTATGCAAAGTGTTTTAGCCTGATGATATCTAATGTGGTAAATAGGGGTAACTTCGTTGGTTTCCAGGTGGGGCAGAAAGGTCCTTCTATTTCTCATCTACAATATGCAGATGATATATTGATTTTCACATAGGCAGAGAATGAGTGCATTGAATTTCTAGGCAGGTTCCTAAGGTGTTGTGAGGTGGCGGTAGGTTTAAAAGTGAATATAGCGAAAACATCAATGGTGGGTGTTAATTGCAGTACTGCGCTGACAGAGGAACTTGAGTTGTTGCTTGGATGCAGAGTGGACAAATTTCTCATAACTTATCTGGGACTCCCAATTTTTTATTTTAGGTTTCCTATTTTAGTATGGGATAAAGTGATTCAACGAGCTCAAACTAAACTGAATCTATATAAGCCAAAATATTTATCACTAGGGGAAAAGCGACTTTGGTTATATCTTGCTTGTCAAATTTATTTATTTATCAGATGTCTCTATTGAAGATGCCAACATGTACTGTTTAGAAAATTGAGAAGATGATGCAGTGTTTTCTATGTCTTCTGAAGAGAATAGGAAATATCATTTGTTGAGATGGGATAAAGCGTGTACCCCTAAAAATGAAGGAGGTCTTGGTATTTGAAGAGTATCTTTAATAAATGAGGCCTTGCTAATGAAGTGGTGGTGATGGAGTTTGTCTTGTAAGGATCATCTTTGGTGTAAGGTCCTACTTTAGTGACATATTTGGAGTGTGGATTGAAGGTGGCAGAAGGAGTGCGTATAGATCTGTTTTTGGAAGGATATTTTCTCATTCAAAGCATACCTGCAAAGAGATATTAGGTGGTGTGTGGGGAATGATACTAAAGTTTATTTTTGGCATAAAAAATGGTTAGAGGATAGACCTTTGAAGTCTTATTTCCCTAATCTATTTGCAAAGGCCTGTTTTCCAAATGCTTTGTTATACGAATCTTATCAGTTTGTTGGAGGGCAGGTGGTATGGAATGTCCAGTTTCCTTATAATAGAGGTAACCATTTTTTTATAGAGCAGGTTTCAAGTTTATTTTTATCTCTATAGGAGGTGGTACTGTGCGATTCTATTGAAGATGAAGTGATTTGGGAGCATAGTTAAGATGGCCTCTTTTCGGTTAAAGGAATGTATTATCTCTTGTTTCATGATCGCCATAGATGGTCGCAGCCTCAAATTTCACAAATATGGAAGTGGCCTATTCCCCACAAAGTTCAATGCTTTATTTGGTTGGCAGGGCAAAATAAAGTTTTGACTGTGGATAATCTCATTAAAAGATGAAAAATGTTGCCAAATGTCTATCTTATGTGTAAAGAGGATGGGGAGTCAATCTTGTATTTGCTAATCCATTGTCGATATGCAACATACATTTGGAATAATTTCTTTGGGATTTTAGGTTTTATTACGGCTCTTCCTCGAGGTGTTTTGGACATCATTTCTCAGCTGGCTTTTTTGGGTTTACCAAAATTGGGGGTAAGGATCTGGCAAATAGTGAAAGGAGTTATATGCTAGGAGGTATGGAAAGAACGGAATAGGTGTACTTTTGAAGGAGTTGGTCTATCATGTAATTACCTGATTCAACGTATTTTTCATACGATTTGGTGTTGGCTGTCTGTCATGGAGGAAGGGAGAGGTATTAGTGAGATTGATGTACGAATTAATTTAGCCTATCTGATGGTCTTTAAGAGGCTAAAGACTATACCAGTTGGTCGTTGGATACCTCCGCTACAAGGCTGGTTAAAGTTAAACTTTGATGGTAGCTCCCTCGATAACCCGAGAAGTGCAGGGATAGGAGGTGTGGTGCGTTATTGGAATGGATCTATTGTTCTTGCCCATGCTGGACCTATCGGAATTGCCACAGCCAACATGGCAGAGTTTAGTGCCTTGCTCAAAGGATTACTCTTTATTAAAGCCATGAATTTGAGTCATGATATTGTAGTCGAAAGTGACTCCCAAAATATGAATAGGTGGTGCAACAAAGATCAACGAGTTCTTTGGCTATTGCATTCGATTTGGGACCAATTGGTGAAACTGGAATGAGAGTTATCTTCATCATTCCATCATGTCTATAAATAATCGAATAGTCTTGCAGATGGTTTGGCTAAAAGAGATGTGGCTATGGAGTCTTTTTCTATTTTGAATGATGTAATGAGTGAGTGATGTAACTAATTTTTAGTCATCAATAATAAGTGATAACATTTCTCAAAAAAAAAAAAAAATCCTTTGGCAAAGGTTAGTGAAGTGTTTAACAGGGAGAGGGCAATGTGGGAAGTTAATTTATAAGACAATTGGCTGAGTTACTTATTATGCTGGAGAATGTAAAGCTTTTCCAATGTTTTCAGGATGAATTAGTGTCGGAAGTTGGAAGTGATGGTTGCTTTTCAGTGAAGTCCGCTAATAATTTATTGTTTTATAATCGTATCCATTACATCTTTGTGCAAAATCTGGTCTTGGCATGTTCCACAAAAAGGGAAAGTTTTCCTTTGGGTATTGTTTCAAGGAAAGTAGTTGATCATGGATAAGCATATGAGAAGAGATAGAGTTTTAACTAATATTTGTTTGCTTTGTAGATAAAGTGATAAGAGTGGGGATCATTTGTTTCTTCATTGTCAATTTACTTATGACATATAGTGTTGGTTTTTCAAAAAGTTGGGTATTGTGGGTTCTTTGCCACAATCATATGAACATCATTGAGCAATTGTCTTGTGATGGGCTACCTAAGGTAGGCAATTTGATTTTTCAGATTGGTGGCAGTAATTTTATGGGAGATGTAGTTGGAAAGAAATAGGAGAGTTTTTAAAGTTGCATCTATGGAGATAGATATAATTCAAAAACGAATACAGCACACTTTACGGTGTTGGTTTTCAATTACCAATGAAGGTTTTAGTGTTTCTAAGGTGGGCATGGAGGTCAATATTATCAATATTATGAAACAATATGTGGTAAAGGTTAGGAAGATGGAAAGTTTCGGTGATAGGCAACCTCAAATTGAACTGTGATGGAAGCTCACTAGGGAATCCGAGACTAGCGGCAGTTGGGGGTATTGTGAGAGATTTATGTGGTGAAACTATTTTGTTTTGCAGGTCCATGGGGGTATTGTGAGAGATTTATGTGGTGAAACTATTTTGTTTTGCAGGTCCATGGGGGTATTGTGAGAGATTTATGTGGTGAAACTATTTTGTTTTGCAGGTCCATGTGGTGAAAAAACTGCAAAAGAAGCTGAACGTGAAAAAACTGCAAATGAAGCTGAACTTTTAGCAGTCTTACAGGGGGCTTAGAATCATTAAGGAGTGGAATATCTTTATACCCTATGTGGTTAAAGGGAATTCTATGAATATAATCATTTGGTGGAATTCGGCATCTAGAACCCCATGGAGATTGAGATCACTTTGGTTGGAAGTTATGAAGATTTCGAGCAGCTTGTCTATCTCTTTTAGACATATTTGTCGAGAAGCTAAGAACCCATGAAGATTGATATCACTTTGGTTGGAAGTTATGAAGATTTAGAGCGGCTTGTCTATCTCTTTTAGACATATTTGTCGAGAAGGTAATGCAATAGCTGACTCACTGACGAAAAGAGGTGTCTCTTCCATCGTCGGTGATTTTGTATGCTATTTTTGTTAGACTTTGTTGTAAGCTTTTATCGTGAATAAAATCACATAATATTGTCAAGAAAAAAAAAATTGCTTGAGCACATTTCCGATATAAATTGTCATTATTGGGTGCATAATTGTATAAAAATATAGTTTTTCTTAATATTTGTGAATATTAATTAATGAATGTCGGTGCAAGGGAAATCGAAACACATGGGGTAGCAATGGGCCAGGCGACTTGGCCCAATCCGATCAGACCAGCCCTAAAAACTTTGGGCCTAAGCCACAAACTATGGCCCAGCCCTCTTTTTTATTCTAGTTTCTTCCTTTATTTGCTTTTAACCCAGCTCAAGCCAGCCTTATGTGGATAGGGCCGGGGCCTAGGCCAAGGCTGGCCCGCCCAAGCCTTTCCTGTTGCCACCCTTACGATCACGGGAGTTGAGCATCAAGCTAAACTTGCATCCAAGTATAACATCCACTTGGTTCATGCAGCAAGGAAATAAAGAAGATATTCGGCACATACCAAATATTCTTCAAAATATGGCTAATTATGGAAACATTTTGGAACCATTTTAGGAATGTGAAAGAAGTATGTAGAGTTTTAACATATAAATGAGTCAAGTAGAAACGGTCCGAACTTGCATAATGATACTCCACTTTAACCATGCGTATGGATGATACTGTATGAAATGTCATTAAGCTGCATGCAAATGCATGTATACTTCTAATGGATTTATAGAACCAGCCTAACAATCCCATATAAGAACAACAGAACAGAAACAGAGAAAAAAAGTAAAAAGAAAACAAAGGAAAGGATGTAGGGCCGAGCTCTTGATTTGGAAGCTAAGGAGCTGAGTACTTCGCCCGATCAAACAAGTCCCAAAGGGGCACAATCCCAACAAAAGCATCAATGCAACCCAAAACAGAAAAAAAACAAAAAACAAAGGAAAGAACGAACACTAACACAGACATGAGACTTCGCTGCTTCGAAGGGGATATATGAGGTTCAGCCATATTTCAAGAGTCACATGCAGGTCACATGGAGCTCAACGTCTCAATAACTATTATATTACTACTTACCCAGGCCACATCAAAATTGGCAATTCACAGACAAATTTTTAGGTTTATTTGTAAATGACAAAAGAATATCTCCAAATTAAAACCCAACAAAATTGAATAGCTGCAAGCTATTCACACTGATTAAATCAACCACGATTCTTCCTTGGGCTCTGAAGCGTGAAGCTGGATTCACCAGGCAAAGCATCTAGAACAGTAGATGTAATGCTATCTTCCCCAGCTTGCTTTGCATGGTTATCCCCACTTTTCTTGGCACCTGAGCTCTCTTGCGCACCATTCTGGCCTGCACCTATTAGGCTCTTGTATATCGATAAAGCCTGGGCCATCATACTTGCCGGATTGGCAGCTGTGCTAGGGAGCAATAGTGTGGTGCCCTGAATAGGAGAGTTGAAGTTAAAAAGTAAGAGAGTTAAAAGATAGGAGAAACATCACTCTCACATACAGAGAGAGAGAGAGAACGTATTGAATTACAATAACGGCATTTTGTTTACCTCCTTAGCGATATTACCGAAGGTCTGAATGTATTGCTCAGCGATTCTTAGGCTGGCTGCCTGCTCAAAGATATGAAAAGCTTAAAAGAGCTTAAAACCCCCACTGATAGTGTAGCAAATTTGATTAAAGGGAATTCTATTCAATAAAAACAACTGTACAGATGACAAGAAAAAATTGGTTTCAACTTCTCTTAGGAAGTGTCAGCCCTAACTAGCTGAGAAATCCACACTGACCAAAAATAAATAAAATTGCTTCAAAAAAATAACAAATACAAACAAAATAAAAATCTTGGGTCAATTAGAATGGCACAGGAAGTAAGATATGCACCATTACCCTGATTTCACTCGGACCACCCAAAGAGACTAATGCAATCCAAATTTTGAGTGTTATGGACCAGCACAGCAAAAAAAATGGCATGGATTGAAAAAAAAAAACTGAAAATGCCCTTACAAGGTATTCAATCATCCATAATCTAATGTTTGGACAAGTAACATCATAGGGTTATGATGTCGTACTATGCACAAATTGGGTGATATTGATATCTAAGATTCATGTTCTTGAAATATTTCATGCCTCCCAATCTCTTAGAAAATCTTTAATATTTATTTCTTTCCTTGTAGAGCCCAACCTCAATCTTGTCTCGTCTACATTCTTGCATCTTGTTTTTACTCTTCCTCCAATTTGTTGAAGCTTGAGTCTCTTACATTTGAATTTCTCAAAAACCTAAATCTCGCTATTATTATCATTGGAATCCTAAAATTCTCTCAAGACATGTTTCACCTCCCCTCTCACCCCCCCTTTCTTTTTCCCCCCTCCCCTCTCACCCCCCCCTTTCTTTTTTCCCCCCTCCCCTCTCACCCCCCCCTTTCTTTTTTCCCCCCTCCCCTCTCACGTAAGTAGTAGTCCTGATTAATTAAAGGAAATGTATACAATAAGACCATGTAGAGGGCACAATCATTACTGACCATTGGATGTGAAATTGGGCGGTTGAAGATGTGTCATTGATTAGGCACAATGTCCAAACTAAAATTTCACGAATGTTGTAATACACTTTAATCCATTGGATTTCACATCCAAAGGCTAAAAATAATTATAACATATCATTGTATGAAAAATAATTGTGACCTCATAGCATACAATCCCTTAATTAAAATTGCCTATCAAACATAACTAGGTCAAAGAGAGAATCACACCTCTGCACCTCCATCAGATTTGAGAGCATTTGAAAGCCGAGAAATCCCTTCTGCTGTTGCTTGAGCCCTGGCAAGGATCGCTTCAGCTTCTCCTGTACATGAACCAAATATATAAAACACAGCAGAAGACACCAACTTCCAATTATCCTTTCTGTATAAAATTCAGTTTTATGCTTTACTGCACTCCAAGTTATCCTTTACAAGTTCTTTTCATTAAAGAGAGATATTTAGAACCCATCATATTAACTAAGGGATTGTATACAATGAGACCATTTACCTTTGATACAAGGTGGTCACAATTACTTACAACCATCCAATGTGAAGTTTGATATCTTGGATGTGTCACAAAGTTCGAGAAAATTTCTTTTGAAGTTTGAGCTTGATCAATGGAATAATTGCAGCCACCCAATTTCACATCCAATGGTCAAGATTAATGTCTCACCTTGTACCAAAGGTAAATGGTCTCATTGTATACTTTCCCTTAACTAAAGACATTGTGAAACTTTTAAAGCTGCATGATGTAACTTCACGATCATCAATTTCTTCTATTAAATGCAATGCCTTTCTAATCACAATGATTCAAAAACATGTATTTTTTATTTTGCAGACGATGATTCAAAAATTATGTCACTAATAAAACAAAAAAGATGTGTATTTATCAAGAATAATGAAGCCTAGAGTCAATACATCAGATACCAAATTCTGGCACCTATAACTCTGACATCATCTTAAGTGAGAGGAACTCTCGAAGAAAAACTAGGAATGACACTGCAAGTGACTTATTTATTTATTTATTTATTTATTGCCTTTCATAATTTGTATTGAAGGTGGATTTCAAGTGGCCAAGCAGGATATGATTTTTTATTCTGTTAAAGCAAGGAAATAAAAACAAACACCAACCTAAGACTGAGGATGCATTTCACTCTAAATGCATAAGCAGATCAAAGTAGACTCAGATGATGCAGACGCATCTTCAATTCTTCATAGAATATTTTCTTTCCTACCTCCTTGAAAATCTCATAAAGAATAATGCCCCACATCTGTCCCTTTTAGTTATGGGCTTTGTTAGGGTAATCCTACACATTAAGTTTTTCCTTAATGTACTCTACCATTTTTTAACACCTGATAACCTTATCCCACAATGTAGTAATAGAGGTATTTTAAATAATTAATCAAGGGTAAAATAGAATTCTTGGATAGAAAGAAAAACATTTATTAACTATAGTAAAGGATGACATCCACATGATGTATAGCATCACCCACATAGAGCATTACTTATTTTTTAACTACTTAAATGCCACTAGTTTTTTATAAAAATATCTATTCTACCCCCTCCTAATGATGAAAGATATCTCTGCTCGAAAAAATTTGTATTAAAAAGAATGTTGAGTAAATTAAAGAAATACTCCATGTCTAGGAGTACCCTAACAAAACCCTTTAGTTATATTGACATAGAACACAAATTAGATAGGACCTACAGGATTGGACACCATAAGAGAAGACCTACCATGTTTAGCTACCTGACATAATCAACAACAATATTCTTAGCACAATGACCTTAACCACTTCAACCATGTCCAGATCCAGTAAATTAAAACAAAAGTAGCAAACATGCAGGTACACTAATACAATCACCAAAAGACAAAGCAAGATGGCATAAGAATTTAGATACCATGCTCGGGCCTGAAATTGTTTGCACCCAGTTGGGGTTCCCTTTTAGCTGAAGGCAACTCTGCAAACATAACCCTTTTGGCCAAACAGAAGCAAAGCTTCCATTGGCGGCTGACCTGAACTTTCTTTGAAATTTTAGATTGCGTCTTGCAATTCACAGTTTCATCTAGTGAGCCTCGCTGATGTTTTGGAAAGGAAAGAAACTCTAGGCAATCCATAGTTGTTACCCTTGGGTATGACTCACCATAAACTCCATTTTTGTAATTTTTGTATACCCTAAACCCGAGCTGTCTGTTGTATCTACTGGTATTGAATGGGAATCATAACAAGCTTTTGAAATTTCACAGAACAGGGATGGAAATGTATTAGACAGTAACCAATAAAAGAAAGAAAGAAAGAAATCCAAGTCAGCAGTAACATCTGACATGGGCCCTGTCTGGTTCCAGGCCTGAGTCCCAGAATTCATAAACATTTATCAAGAGGTGTGCTGCACAACCACCAACAAATAGTAGAAATCCAAGTCAGCAGTAACTTCTGGCCTTGAGATTATTTCATCATAATAGATATCTTGCATGTTAAATGTGAAAGCCCAACCATTTCAAAAGTCATTCTTCTCAATTTTCCATTAAATGTCAGTCTTATCTAAATACTTCAATTCCAAAATTTCCTGGCACACTTAGGTATGATTGGTCAATTCCATGTAGCAATTAGTTGTTTTAGCCTGGAAAGTATAGAGTTTGGAACTATCCCACAGAGTAAATGTGATAGCATTATAAGGAAAAAAAAAAAAGTAAATGTGTAGCAACATTCTCCCAAGACTCATAGCACCATAAGTTCCACCTTGGGTTTGTGATTTGGCAGTCAACTCCATCAATAAGACTTTGAACTAAAGTTAATGGGAGAAAATTATTTACAAAGAGAAATCCATCAGGAAGTAGGATATAGGGTTCTTGCAGAAATCACCCAAAATTTCGACCCTTCCCCTTTTCCCTTCACCTAATAGCTCTAGCTATGGGAATTAAAGCCAAAAAATGGTAAAAGATGAAAAGAAAAACAGAAACTACAAGCTTTTGCTGGTTCCTATGAAGGGATCCAGAAGGTCAAAAGCCTAAGCAAACTCAGGGGTTAAATGTGAGCTCGATGCACTTCAGGAAGGCCCCTTGGGAATGGGTTTCAATGATGTCCACTCCACAATATGAGCATCATGGAAGCAGCATATACAGAAACTGTTTTAGTTCTAAACACTGTAAAAATAACCATGATAGAATGTGTTATGCAAAAGTATCAATCTTTAAGTAGAGCAAAAACCCAAGGATCATGCACTGCAGCTGATTAACAGAAAAAAGAACACATATGATAAAACCACATTCACTGAAAAAATAAGAGTACAAATATAGAAAGTGGAAAACAAAATGTACCTTCTGCCTTCAGAATGAATGCTTGCCTCTCTCCTGTTGAAATTCAATGATACAATCATTCAGTCATAGCAATCTCAAGCAAAGACAAGACTCAAAATTGATATCCACGCAGCAGCTTTGAAGTGTAAAGAACAGGTCATTAGCCCGCATCCAGAAGCAACCTTCAAACCCCTTGATGAAAGTAATATTCCATACCAAAAATTGTCTGAATGAACTACAAGAGTAAACAACTAAGTCCACCTTAGAAAGATGTATTCTTGGAAACTTACACACCATTCCCCATTTTTTCTGATATTAATAACATCAAAACTAAAAACAATTAAAAATAACTAGACGATTTTATAATAAACCACCTTCAGACTCGAGCACTTGAGCACGTTTTCTTCGCTCTGCTTCAGCTTGCATCTCCATAGCTGCCTTCACTCCAGGAGGAGGAGATATGTCCCCTATAAAGATGGATCAATAAAAACTGTTCTTACAAAAATTTGCATGGTGAAAACTGAAGTAGTACCATTCAATATGACAATTGAGAGTAACAGTTTTCATATATAATTGACTTACGTATCTCATAACGCAGACACTTGAGACCCCAAGAAGTTGCAGCTTCATCTATGGATTTCTGAAACAGAAGGCAGAACATTGTAATTATTGATCTAGGTATAAATTTATTTTTGTCAATTCAGGTGGCTCAAGCATCCAAAAAAGTATCAGATTGTGCAGGCATATACATGCCAGAATGCATATTCAATATATTTATGCATACAAAGGGAGACACAAGAGCAAATACAACTGCAATATTTTAGAACATCTATAATCATGACATTCCAGAGAGAGATGCTGAACAAGTTCAGTCAATTCTTTGAATTTCATGTACATTTTCCTTTTGGAGAAATGAATTTCTCTCATGATCTTCAATAAGACCCTTTTTTTTTTGGGTCTGCCTGCAGACAAGTGCAAGCCTAAATTAAAAAAAAAGGAATGAAATTTTTATTGTTAAAAAGAATGAATAAGATTAATGTAAACAGGTCAACTACTTTACTAGGTTGGAAGAAGAACACAATCTCAAACGAAGAATGCAACAACAGAAACTCAAATTATTAAGCTTACCTTCGGGGAAAACTAAGAGGTAGCTAGATCTAATTAAGGTGAAGCAATAATCATAACTTGTTCCAAATTAATAGAAAATGCTAGCAACTCAACGCTACTGAACCAGATGATCCATTGGGTTTCTATAAATTCCACTACAATGCCAGGCTAGAAGGAAAGCACATCATAAAAAGAGGACGCAACAACAGGAACTGTATATGACTACATTCTGAGGAAACTAAAAATTGAAGACTATTTTAGGTGAAGCAACCATCATAACTCAATCCAAATTAAGTAGAATATTCCATAACCACAGTCGCAGCAAATCCATTGATCCAATAATTTTCTAGAAGTTCCATCATGTTTGCATTTTAGAAAAATTTTAATAGAATATGCAATAAGAATTTGTTATTGCCACATGAGGAAGCATAAAGTAAAATCCAGTGGAATATGGAAACCCAGTCTGTTGGTGTCATCAACAAACAATAAAATGATGAGCCAGTTGACAGAGAGAGAGAGGGGCCCACTGTTGTAGGCTGTGTACATTCTCATGCATCCTACTCTCTTCAATCATAGTAAATCATTCCAATGGATGTGTGATCCCATTTCTACCCTTGATCTTGCTAAGATAAAAAAAAATTAACCATTGTAAGTGCTTCTAATCCCGAATTTCCAGATTTCTGAACAAGACAACACAATTAATGATAAAGCATGTTGAAATCAAATATCATTTTTATTTAAAAAAGGTCCCAGAATATAGTCAACCTACCTTATATCAATCATTCATAGCATATACTTTGTTAAAGAATGTGTCAAACAAATACTGAGCCTTATTAGTATATGAAATTGTGGGGGGTTGCATATAGAATTTTAGTATGTTAATTTATTTGAGAAACTTTAGGTGCATAAAGTCATTCTGAATTATTTTAATTCGATATTCCCAATAAGGGAAGCATTAGTTATATTTTAAACATTTAATATTAAGTGATTCAATCTCTCATTCTGAACAAATGAGACTTAGTTTATTTGATAATTTAAATGAAATATAGTTTTACTAAAACTTTGGAGTTCCCTCCACCCCACAGCACAGTATGCACATGCACACAAGCATACGCACTCACATGGACACTCTTCTCTTGGTCCTATAATAACTACTTTCAATATTTAAGCAGTCTGCGTACAATACATTGTACTGAAACTCACAATTTTGGTACAAGATTGCCAATAAGAACAAATTAGCCCAATTAAAGTGGGCCAGGAGGTCTTCTTATAATTGGCAAATGACTCTTATATAGGTGTGTTGCAGTGTTTTTTATATTAAATGTAAAAAGAAGACCCCTAGAACTCTTACATGGGCATTTCACAGTATCTCTCTCTCTTTAAATGTAAAAAGAAGACCCCTAGAACTCTTACATGACCATTTCACAGTCTCTCTCTCTCTCTCCTCCCCCCCCCTGCTCCCCCCGAAATTGCAGCCCTCTCTCTTTTTCTCCATAAATTGCAGTTATGTGCCACTATTCAGAATACTTTTACTACAAGCAACCGATACTTTTTCTTCTCTTTTTTATTGTTAAAAATCCCACTAAACAAAATTGATGTAGAAGCGTGCATATTTGCTCACATCCTATGTAACATGTATGTGTGAGTCTATGATTTCTGCACGTGCCGATACTCCAAGGACATGACACTTATGTCTGATACTTTAGATACCTAGACAGCTCTTAACATTTCTTCTTGAAATCTCACCATTAAATACTTTGTCACCTTTAGTCCCACTTCACTTTCTTCAAATGGGAAATGGAGATGTCATGTCTAAAAAACCAATTTTGAGATTAGAATTGCGAACACTCATATGTAGCCATAGCTATGGAGTAGCCCTAAGACAATAAAATCTTCCCCTGCTGACTCGTCACAAGGCTCCCCATCCAAGTAGATTCTGAATTTCCTTAGAACTTCCATCAACAGTGAAATTGAACATAAATTTTATTTTTGGGTTCCGGGGGTGGATGGGTGGGTTGTGTTCTACTTCCTTGACCTTCTTACCCTCACCTCTTTCTGGTATGCAATCTCATGCCACTATGTTTCTAAATATGTAATATTGTAGCCCTAGAACTTTTTTATAACCTTGGCCCATAACACCACTGTGGCCCACACATGTTCATTCTATTCAATACTCTACATTTGTCCCTAAAGCATCTATTCTTCCTCTCCAACCAAGCAAGCCAAATGACAGCAGATAGAGTTAGCCTCCACAAGTGGCAGATACTTGCACCTGAACACATGATGCTCAGGTTTTATTTTATTGGAATGACAAATAGCCATTGAGTGGGATTCGGCTAATGTGATTACACGAGGTAATGGAAGGATGGATGCACATGGTGACTAAACAATATGTTCAAGGAAATTTTTGGCAAAACTAGCAACCTGGTGTCCATTCATCACCCATGGAGGAAGCCCTAGGAGGCAGCAGATTCATTAACCGGTGATGGAGTCTACTATAACATCTCTGGCAGTAACTCAATTTGGCACCTTGACTTTCATTCATATACTCAAGTTTGGATGTGAAGGAGACCTGTACAACCACTTTATAATCAATGAAGTTAACCATAAAAAATTACACAGATCAGAATCATCAGACTCCTATTTAAACATAATTATGGTAGGTCTGTGACATTTGAATCCAAGACTCAAACAAGTGTTCAACTTATTTAAAAGTTGGGATTCACCCAAGTCGACTCAACTTCAGCAGGTGCCACTTTTAATACCTAAAACCCCTCTCATGCAATTCTGGACAATACTTGCCTGAGACTCTATAATAACAGCCAGACTCTGTTGAATCCCAAGTCCTATGTGCCTCTTATAATAAAAAGAGAGTATTTTTAAGAACATCCAAGTTTTAAAAGATAAGATGGGGGAGTCAAATTGGGACTCAACAAGTTGACTTGGCTCAAGACTCACCCAAGTATGAGGTTTTACACATTGCTTCAAACTATGAACACCTAAAACTATCATTATGTCACATTCATAGCAAAAAGTCTTTAGTCTGAATTTCACCTAGCATATTAGGATATTATGGAGGTTAGACTTTATAAACAATTCATATTTCGATGACAATCCCACAATATATATATATATATATATATATATTCCTCCTTCCGTGGCCATACTTAAAACAGAACAATGGCAAAAAATGACCAGATTACCTTTGTTAATGCCTACATTTGAGACGCAAGTATTTGAAGGTTGACATTTGGTTGTTGAAACAACAAGCTATTGCATACCAGAAGACACTTGTATGTGTCCCCACAAATTCATCCTACCTCCACGCAAGGTTGAGTCTCGTTGACTTGGCACAAGGAGATAGGACCACCTCACAAGATTACGAATATGTATGACCATCAAGAAATACAGAGACAAAACCAATGTCCCTTCGGTATATGCCAAACATAACCACAAGCTTAACACTCCATTGTGCAGGAAGAAGGCAAGCTTCCCACACAAGGAAAAAAACTGAAACGAATCTAATAAATGAATGCTAAAATACCAGAGAAATCATGTTTCTTCATTAGATATGGAAAACAATTGAGGAAAGGTAAGTACAGTAATCTGGTCTGGAGACTGGTTGGTCAAAAGAGTGCAATGTTGTCTGCACAAGTACAGCAACTTTGGTTGGAGTTTCATTACATAATGTTCCAACGTAATTAGCCTCCATATTTAGGATGCCAACATGAGTGGTCTCTGAAGTAGAAGCATAACAAAGAAGTCCCCATCCTTTGTCCTAGCATCCACAAAGAGGTTTATTTTTTTTCGAAAATTTTGCTTATTTTATTTTTCATTTTGTCATCATACAACATTGGGCAAAAACTGTAATGAAAAAATAGAAGACTTACAAACATGACAACATAAAATTCAGTTCACACTTCAACAGTGGCTATATGTGTGAGGAGAAGTTCAATCACCTTGCCAGGAATTGAGATTCATAGGTCCTATTAGGTTTCTTACAAGAATTAATGTGTTTAATAAACATATGAGTAGAAGTTATTATCAAAATTAAATAAAATAATAATAATAATAAAAAGAAGAAGAAGAAGAAAGAGAAAAAACGGGACTTAAGATAAATTGTTCACATCTCTAATGAAATAGGTTTCTATGATGCCGAGACAAAAATGTTTGCATGTGGCACGAAGATAACCTTTTAACTTACCACAATTTTCTCATTAAGGGTGTCTCTTTCTTCAAAAGTCTTATCCAGTGTAATTTTACCAAGCTCGCTCCGCATGGTCGTCTGTGCAAGTTGAATAATGGCAAAAAATGGATTCTCAACTCCGTATGATGCTAGAATTGGGTCCACAATCTGGCAGTCATCATCAAGACAAAAATAATGACACGGTGACATGAATCAAAAGCAAAAGAAGTACGTGCTCTGTTGTAAAACGAACTAAAATGACCTAAAGATAGATGATGAAGCATTGAAAACACCTACATTAAAACAAATATAAGACACAAATTAGAACCAAAAAATTGATAACAACTATAAATACCTTCACATAAAGTATTCCATCAATTGAAATACTGACATTATCTTTAGTTATAGCTGATTGATTAGGGATGGGGATGGCCTCTTCTTTTAGAGAGTGCACATAAGCAATGCGGTCAACCCCAGGTATTAGTAGGTGAAAGCCAGACTCAAGGGTCTTTGAGTACTTTCCGAACCGTTCCACGACAAATGCTTTCTTTTCAGGAACAATACGAATGCCCCAGTTTGTTGGTGGGCTCTGCTCATATCTTTATTCAATTAAAACAGGAAAACTAAGTATAAGTCAGAAATTGAACAAAAATATAATAATTTCTAGTAACATAGGCATCATTGGATCAACTAAAATATAAAATTTATCCAAACATTCCCACTCAACATTGACAGAAGATTTAGGTGCCACATGTATCAACCACAAAAATAACGCAAAAAAGGGCCAATACATTGTATATGACCAAGAAAAATGTAATAAACACAAGGGTGAAAAACTACTCAAGCAATAATTCATGATAATGAAGTTATTTCTTCATTTCACTGCAACCGAGCCTAATGGGGGATGTCACTGTGTCCTCAACCAGAGAAATCCACATAGATTACAAAAGAATTACCAATTTTCCACACCACGTCTGTGACTCTATCAACCAAAGTAATATGACTAAAATGGGGTCTAATCCATTACAATCCGAGCAATAAAATGCAGTTCAAAAAATAGATTATGTGATTGTTTGATGGTTTTCATCTAAACAATAGGTAAAACTACAAAAAACAGTACAGCAAACATAAAACGACTCAAAAAACAATTTACAAATAACTGAATAGAACATTTAGTTAGCTATTTCAAATGAAAGAGCACACAAGTACTCTACAGTAACTGAAAGTAAAAAATCAAGAGCCATAAGCATAAATCAAAGACTAAATCACCAATAAACTTACAACAGCCACAGCTTGAGCTCTATCTTTGAAAAAAAATAAAATGATTCTGATAAACTATTGCTTGAATCTCATAAAAAAGGAACAACAAAAAAATCAATCACACTGACCAATTGAAAAAAATGCAGAAGAAAATGCAAGTACCTCATGCTCCAATCATCACTACTCCTTCGACTTCGCATATGGCGAACGGTAGTCAATAGATGAGCACATTCAGGCCTTGGAAGCCGAGTAGAATGGAGACCTGGTACAATCGCAGCACTGTATCCTCTAGCCAACAGTAAATTGTTCAGACCTTTCATGGATTTAAGTGCACTGTACCTCCAAATCGCCATGAAAGCTAGGGTTGCAATATGGTTTCTCTACTTCTCTAGAAGGTGAAATTACCAGGCATTGAGCGCTCAATGAAATGGCAAATGGAATCGAAGAGAAGACGAGGTTAAGACATGGGGGGTTTCGAAAGGGGTTTTAGCGACTCGTAATTCCTTGGACAACAAACAGAAAAGTGGGCCCTAAGTTTCCGCGATGGTGCATGGAAAAAAGAGAGTACGGCCGTCCAAGGTAGCATGAGATCATGGAAAGGGAAAGCATGGAGTATGAAATGTTGTGGGCGTATGGATCAGGGGATGTGCATATGGAGGGCGTCAAGGGCTTCTTCGCGCGGATACCAAAACAATCGGGCCTCGGCCACAAAATGTGGCCCGAGGGCTCGGCCAAGGTTTGGTAGCCATGGCCCGAGGATTGGGCAGGGTAGGGCCTGAGCCAGGCCTTTATAGGGCCGGCTTGGCCTAGCCCTTTATTTTCATTGTTTTTCTTTTTGTTTATCCTTTTTTGTATTTGGTAAGGCCGGGGCCCGCCCTATCATGGCTAGGGCTAGGGCCTCGTCGGATTGTTCCATGCCAGGCTCGCGTCGGCCTTGCAAGGAGTAGGTCAGTGCTGGCCCAAGTGTGGCCCGTTGCCACCCTAACCTTCAATGTCATGCTTTCCCGTGTTTACTTAACTATATCGAGGAGTGGGGTTTAAACATACAATTATCCTCATTTTCAAGGTTTTTGCTTTCAAACGTAAAATTATCCTCAACATCGCTAAATTAAAGTATTTGAAAAATAAGTAATTTCTTTTGAAAAAGTATCTATATTTATAACTATCTCTTTACTATATGGACCTGGTTTTTATGCGGCCAAGCCCGCCTATGTAGAAATGAGGGCTTCTTCATAAATCTATTTTTGAGATGGATTTTAAGACTTAATTTTTAAAGATATATAATCTCTAACAAAGAGATTATGAATATGAATAAATAAATAAATTTTTAAAATTAAAAATAATAATTCTACTAAGAAAATATTTGGACTGTTAGTTTCCATTGTTTTTAGATGGAACACCTACTTGAATCCATCTTTAAGATGGATGTTTTACACTTTATGGACCGTATATGCAGAACTGAGGCCACTCCCCTGAAACAATTTTCCTTACTATATTCTTAAGTCATTGTTAAGGGGTGTGCATGTGTTGTAAAAATAAAAAGAGACCCTATTGCTAGAGATAACATCATACATTTCACTTTGAACAGAGGGAGTTTAGGGCAAACTGCCGACTTTCATTGGGAATGGATGACTTCTTTATCTATGATCTATAATTTATAAAAAAACAAAAACCGGCATAATTGGTTAGAACTTGACGATTTACAATGCTACGTTCCAATTTGTCATAAAGCCCGCAAGGGTTGGGATTAGTGGGCCATTGGCTAGGTATTCTAGAGTGGGTTGTAAAGTTCTTTAAAGGTGCAACTTATTCTATTAAAAGGCTTCCTATAACTCTTGAGTTCTTTAGTTAATATAATTTTTTTTTTTTTTTTTAATAAAATTAGTTTGTTGAGTGGCAATAAGTGAGGATCCTCCAATTGTAATGGTTTTTTTTTTATTATTTTCAAAATGTAAGCGGCCTTTGTAAGTAGACTTGCTGGTATTGTTGCTAAAAATTTTAAATACATGGAAAATATTGAGATTAGCCTACTAGTTCATATGAACATGTAAATTCAGCGGCCCAGATTGAATCTGAGCCGATCTGACAATCACGACTTCATTTCATATTTGAATTTGATTTTTTTTTCTACGAATCCAAATAAATTGAAATTTTAAGCGTTCATTCTTCTCATCATGGTGCACCTAATAAAAATATTTTATAAATAATTTACAAAACTAAATTGACCAAAATACCCTTGAAAAGTTTCAAGGATATTTTGGTCAATTTTTTTAAAAAAAATTAAAATTAAAATACGAAATGAAGTCGTGACCATCAGATTGGCCAAGATTCAATCTGGACCGTTGGGCTCATACGAACACATATGTTCATATGAGCTAGTGGGCTAATCCTAACTTTTTCCATATATAGGAAAAAGCTGGGATTAGCCCACTAGTTCATATGAACATATGAGCCCCACAACCCAGATTGAATCTGGGCCGATCTGATGATCACAGATGTCCGGTAGTGTTTGAATTTTAATTTTTTTTCTACAAATCCAAATCACTTAAAATTTTAAGAGTGCGTTCATAAAAAATATTTGAATATTTTAAAAATATCAAAAAAATATTTCACATTAAATAAACTGACCAAAATACCTCAAAAAAGTTTCATGGGTGTTTTGATCATTTGTTTTTTTGCAAATATTTTTTGTTATATTTTTATTAAGCACGTCTTGATGAAAAAAACACACGCCAAAAATTTTAAGTGATTTTTATTTGTAGAAAAAAAATAAAAATTCAAACACGAAATAAGGTTGTGACCGTTAGATCGGCGGATATTCAATTTGGGCCGTTGAAATTATATGTTCACATGAGCTAGTGAGCTAACCCAGCTTTTTCCATATATATATACATATATATATATATATATATAACTCTTCCCAACACCTATAGGTGAAAATGAACAGTGATTTCGCCTATGCTCTTCACCGTCCAATAGTATACATCCTCCTGACAAAAGCATAATACTTACAGGAGTCACTCCATCGAATAAAGGAGAACCACCTCAATCTTTATATGATATTATTGCTACTCCATATAAAGTCTTACCCAAAGAGCTTGGTAAGAAACAAGAATTAATCCCTCATATTGTGGAACAAAATAATTATACAAATTTATATATATAATCTTTAGGAAAACAGGCAGAACGAATAGAGAGACTAGTGTCAAAGGAGAAAATAACTCTTTCCCTTCCTAAAGCAGTATTGTTCAAACTACCTCCAGAATTAAATAAAAATAAATTTCATATTGGAGACAATAATAAATCCTTAATGGATCAATTAATAGCCAAACTAGCTCAGCTAGATATCAAAGGAATACCATCCCCCAAAATTACTATTCCTACATCAAAAATACCTAGTCCAATATCTGAATCCTCAGACAAAGGCAAAGCTAAAATCCCAGAGCATGAGACAATGATGCTCCAAGAAGAACCAATAATAGAAGATACTATCCAAAACCAAGAAAATGCATTTATGGATACCACTCCTATTGATCTATATAGAATAGCTTATGGAAAAAATTGGAAACCAATTACTGCCCTTCCATATCATAAAAGACCTACACCTGTTGATATCCAACTTGAAGATGATGCTATACAACAAGTAGTATCATACTCAGGAAGATCAATAGTCAATTGGACAATAGACGGTTTATCTGAATTAAAGATTTTAGATGTCATGAGACATATGACAATGTTTGCCTCTGCAAATAAAATGGCAGGCAACCCAGATCAAGAGGTTGCAAAAGCAATAGTTAATGGATTCACTGGCTGGTTAAGAGAATGGTGGGATTTTTATGTAGATGATGAAACAAAAAATAGAATCCTCACCAATACTAGACAATGGACCGCCAGAAACGAACAAAATCAAGAAATAATTTATACGGAAAGTGATGCCGTCAATACTTTAATATATACCATTACACTTCACTTTGTAGGCAGTACCGCCCTGTTAGCAGTAAGATCTGAGGATCTGCTCTCCAATCTTCGTTGTCCTATATTATCTCATTATAAATGGTATAAGGATGTATTTTTCTCACGATTATTAATACGAGAAGACAGTCAACTGGACCACTGAAAAGAAAAATTCATAGCTGGTCTACCATATTTATTTGCTGAAAAAGTCAAGGAAAGACTTAGGAAAAAACATAATGGAATTATTATATATTCATCTTATACACTTGGAGAACTTTCAGCAGAAATATGTGCTGAAGGCCTAGCTTTATGCACAGATATGAAACTTAAAAAACAATTGGATACACAACAAATCACGAAGCGTAAAGAACTTGGTGATTTTTGTGAACAATTTGGATATTACCTTGATAGAAAAAATATGCCTGAAAAATTATATAAGAAAACAAAAAAATATAAGAAGGTCAAGTATAAATCCAAATCAAATAAAGTCCATAAACAATACAAAAAATCTAAAAGAAAACTTATCAATAAATTTTCTCCCAACACAAAACATAAAAGAAAACTTCCAGTATGTTATAAGTGTGGAAAGGTTGGTCATTATAAACATCAATGTAAATTAAAAAAGAAAATAGAGTCAGTACATTTAGATGATACAATTCAAACAAAATTATATAATATAATCAATTATGATTCTACATCTTCAGATTCTTCCTCCGACTCTCATATAGAAAATATACATGATGATGATCTGTTATGGACAGACTCATCTGATTCTTCCAATACGTCAACAGACTCGGAATCATCCAATCCAATAAAAGATAATGATTGTAGCTGTCATATACCTTCACATAATCTTCATACCTTACCCAAGAAGATAATTTTATTTTAGACATTATTGAAAAAATTACTAATCCAGATGAGAAAAGATTTGTAATTACTCAGTTCATTTCAATAACTAAAAATAAAGCAAAAACACTTCCCATCAATAAATCTCTTGATGAGTACAATTTTGCTTCAATAATGAAGAGAGTAAGTGAACAACATACTTCTCAACAAAAAGAACCTTCAATTTCTGATTTGAAACAAGAAATTAAGGACATTAAGAAAGAAGTATCTTAATTGAAAAATAGAATTAAAATTTTAGAATTACAACAAATATCTCCACAAAATACAGATACAGATGAAATAGATTTTGATCAAATCATAATGGAAGAACCAGAAGAAATTCCAGAGATATCAGAAAAGAAACCTTATCTGGCAAACATCCCTTCAGTCAATTTAATAGATAAAATAATGATTCAAAAATGGTTTGTCCAAGTCAAAATTATAGTTGCAAAAGATTATAGTTTTGAAACTTCAGCCCTAATAGATTCAGGCGCTGACCTTAATTGCATCAATGAAGGTTTAGTACCTTCAAAATATTTTGATAAGACAACTCAAATATTGAATACAGCAGATGGAAGTAGATTGTTTATAAATTATAAATTATCAAATGCTTCTGTTTGTAATAATCATCAATGTATTAATACACCTTTTATTATGGTTAAATGGTTAAGCTAAGCTGTTATA